ATCATCACAATATACAGTGCCGTCACACATCTGAAGTGAATAGTGCTTTGATTAACCCTTGATTCATTTCGAATATTTTTAAAAATTTCTTTTATTCAAATCTCTTAAGTATACTGTAAAAAAAATGTTTTGTGTTACAACGTTACCAAAAATTCAACGAAGCGTACAAAACTATTCAACTTCCCCACTATGGCCAAATTTTTTGTACGGCCGTATTACATAAATACGCGAAAATAAAATTAAGAAATTATAAAATGTGTTCAAATATTCATATTCTTACTGAAAAAAATTATATTTCTTTATGTTTTGTTTCTTTTTTCAACAAAACTTTGAAAATTCGTACGTCGACGCATGGTATAATTGTTACAAGGTAGGGCACAGCTACCAACTGATTACAATTTTTTCTCAAGGTGGCTTGTTCCATCAAATCAATGTACATATTTTGTGTATGTGTGTGTATTGTTTTGAATACTATGTCAAATAAATTTAAAATACATTGAAAAATATTCAAATTTAATTGAAATGAAAATTATGTTTTTGACATGTTCGTCTGGAAGCAATTACTTTGTTATGGAGGAACAAACTCTCATTAATTTTTCGCGTTTTTAGTTTTGTGTTGAAAAAATGACAAATAAACACAAACACTTGTTGCGTTTATTTATTCTATTTTTGGCAGAAGAGGCCACACGTGCATAGTTGCTTTTTTGATATTCAGATATTTAAAGTCTGATATTTAAATTGGCACCGATATATATACATATATATATATATACATACATATGTATGTACTTTGAATCTTCATATGCGAAAATAACTTCTACTCATTTGCACTACTACGGAAATGTATGCGTATTTAATGTAGTCGCATTCGCATAAGTGCTTGTAATGATACACACACCTATCCTTATAGTCTGGGACCGATTTGAGTGCAACGTTCATTAGTAAGTGTGGAAGATAAACGTCTAGCCATTAAGGTGGGGTTGGTTTATTGTCTTTCGTACGTGAATTACATCAGTCAGATACACAGACACTCAGCCAGATGGATGGATGGATGGATGGATGCATGTGTGACAGTCTACGTGGATCCGTGCGTGTGCATGCCTATAACGCCTTTGGACGATAACTCAAAAGGTAATTGATCACTTGGGAAGAAAAAGTGTATGACAGCGGAACATGTCAAATGGTCTGAGTTTGAAAGATGGACATTCAAACGAATAAAGAGACAAACAAAAAGACATATACTATAACGCACACACACATCCGTACTCCAAAGACAAAAGACAATTATATTCAGGTACGACGAAAACTAGGGATAGCTATCTGGACCCCAGCTCCACGGATAATGTGACTTGTAGATCTAAAGACGCCAGAATAACAATACATGTAACCGAGTATGATCTTTGGCAACGACACACATCCATCCACATATATTCTGTGTATGTATGTCGCTCTGGATCACAGCTAAGTAACAAACATTTCACGCTGAGCTGTCATTGGCAAAATAAATGACGCCGAGAAGAATGACATGACAACTCTTAAGCCAAAGAATGAAGGTTTGCCGCCACGAAATCGAATCAAAATTACAAAAGGCTCTCGGCGACAAGACCTCAGAACATCCCAAGCCACCCTCCGTCCACCCTCCGTCCACCCATCCTTGCTGGAAGCAATGCTAGGTATTTCTGCCTGAGACTGTTTCATGCATTCTAACACTGATTGACTTGTGATAGCTAAGCGACTCTAATTGAGTGTCAATTTACCCAATAACTGAAGCCAAATATAGGTACGAACAATGCGAATAGTTGCATGCGCTATTGCGTCGCAAAGATTTCAGCCTCATCTCTTCTTCATGGAGGTTGAGAATGTGCTCGCTCAGTGCAAGCATTTCCCAGCCACACTTAATTAATGCATTTTTAAGTACTGGTGTATTCTATCGATCGGTGCTCATTCGCACATGTGCGATAGATGGACAAATGGATGGACGTCGCAGGGTGGGAAGAGAGATACTTGCTCCAACCTTCTGGGAATGCCACAATTGTCCATTCCAACTTCAGTGCCTTTTGGATGATTGCGGACATTGTCACCGACATCATCAACAGTATCGACAAACCATGCCAGATGATTATTGTCCTCTCCATCTCCATATATGGCAAGTTATCAGCCAGTACATCGAGACTGGTAGTGGTTTGTTTGCGGTGTTGGTATTATTAAGAGGCGCTTGTTGCATAACTCAAATGCTGTGTTGGGTTGTCGCACATGCTTTGTTTCGATTTCCCCTCTTCGACGCCCTGACTTGCTGTCAGTCACGGTGTAGACAATTTCTGACAAAATTAAACATATATTATTGATTTAAAAACGGTAATTTTGCTCCAATAGTAACCAGGCGGTGTCGTGAAATCCTCGAGCATTTTCTATTGATCGTTTCCAGATTATACTAGAGATGTCCTGGGAAAACGGATCTATCTGTACCTGGACACATATCTGCAACAACATCAACTACTATGGGGCATCATCCGAGAAGATGTGGGGTCGTCTTATATTGCATACTCACTTTGTGATTAGATTAATACGTGTTTCTCTCCCCGCAAATTTAAATGGTATTTTGATGGAATCCGATAGCTTTTGATTTCTTTTTTGTTGGCACTCGCGTACAGCCGGTCTCAGTTACACGATATTTCACAGTTTAATATTCTTCTTTGAAGATCGCATTCAGTTTTAGTCACGTTTTCTCTCCTCCTCGCTTCCATTGCTCGCCTCCCTGGCTGTAAACTCAAATAGACAAAAATAACAGCAACACTCGAACGTAAAGTTTTAAGTGCAATTTCATTTTATGTTCTCGTGCCATCTCGCGTCTGGGTTTTTCTTATCTGGCCTTTGCAGTCATAATGGTAAATTTGACTTTTATGATTTCCATTTGACAGGAAAGCGATAAAATTATGTTGGGTACTTGGATTGGATAAAATGTGCTTGTCCTTCGCTAGCCACAGTATACAGTATACAGCTGTGGCCGTTGCATGGCGGAGACATTTTTACAAGATTTTTTAAAAGTTTCAATGACATCCCAGACGAAATGAAATTGTGGTAATTTGATGGGATCTATTTATACCCTACCCAAGTGTGTGCAACACTACGATTATCGTTGTAGTCCGGTACAGTAACACTAAAATATTTGTTAATGTTTGTGTTTCGCAACACCAATGTTGGAATTTGTTAGTGTTTGTGGCATGTATGTTTTCGCCAGGAGAAAATGGGACTTTTGGCCTTTACATGGATTCGAACAATTGTGATATTTGGGAAATATATTTAATTTTATACAGAGGCATACTGCATATTTGTATTTTTGCTTGTTATTATCGGGCTCTTAGGCTCTTGCATTTTAGCTTTGATCAAATTCAGGTCCAGTGGTAGTTGTTTACGCCCTCGTCCGACTGTACAATTTTTCTTACTGTTTAGGTTTATGCTCTGCATAATATTGTTTTCCTTTTTTCGCTTGTTGGTGATCTTTTAGAATTCTTTTTTTTTTCGTTGCAATTAGTGGAAGGCAATAAAAAGTTTTACGATAATGTAAATTTAAAAAATCTATACTTACGTCGAATTTCTACAAATATCGAAGGCAAAGACACAACTATAAAAAGTAAATAAAAAATATTGTAAGTCGGATTTTTGATTTTGAACATGAGGATGATGTGTGTTGGTATGTTTGATTGGGTCCTCTGGGCTAGACGTCCGATTTCGCGAAAACGTTCTCAGACAAACCTTACTTTGCATATGCATATTATTTACATTTACCCTACACATGTACTTTTCCTTATACTTACTCTTATATTCACATCTGAATGGCATATTGTGGTTCCAATGTACACACATTTGTTCATGGCAGATTCCAGCAAAGGCAATGAATGGCATTTAAATTTTACATTTTTTTTTTTTTTTTGTAAACTTGTTTCATTAATTTTATTTCATTTGCGTTTGTATTGAGTATTTTGTCGACATGTCTGTCATCAATTCTAGTCATCATTTTAATATTTATGTTTGTATTTACAAGGATATCTTATTTGTCTAATACTTAAGCAGTAGGTACACAGGTAATTAATTATTTAATAACTAAGCATGGATGTGTGGGTGTGCGACAGAGTATCTCCATTCTATATAAAAATCAATTTGATTGATAGGACTAAAGTTGAGTACAATGCATTCCCTACACAACTAATCGGTAAATGATTAAAGAGTAAAATAAAAATACTTGTATGGTATGTAGAGTTCGTTCTTATTGTAAATATGTACATACAATACGTTGGCGAAAAAATACTAGCATGTTCCGTTGCATATACATGTATACGTGAGTGCGTGTGGGCGTACCGAACTGAACTGAACTGAGTATATATTATATAGACTAATGAACATTACGCCACATGACTGCACGCACTTCTAATGTGACTCGGAGGAATGCGCCAAAGTCTTGGTTTTCAGTGGCAAACACTTGCAATTATTAACGTACCAGTAAATAATGTAGTATTTCTGTTTGCGTCTCGTTTACTCGGTTCCATGTGAACTAGTTTGCGATTGTTTGCGATTCTACAATCAGTGTAGCTTACGAACTATGAGTGTTTCTTTTTTCATATTTCCCTACAAATCTAAGCAAGTCTTGAGAATTGGAAACTAAAACTATGACTTAAAGCTAGGGTTGTTTCAATTAAACATTACACTGAGTGCACGCTGAGTTACCGCGCAATATTGTCGAAGCGGTTGGTTTGTGATGGTTACTAGGCTGTATTGTCGTCATCAGAGGATGTGATTTTGTCAGCTGCAATTAATACATCATGCCCGGGTGGACAGCTGCACCTCCGCGTTGGAAGTAGACATTGGGATTGCTGCTTAAGGTCGGCTCCAGCGTGGTATAGAGATTCGTGTCGTCCGGACGTATAAACAGACCTGCGTTAAAAAGCGGTTGGTTTGTGATGGTTACTAGGCTGTATTGTCGTCATCAGAGGATGTGATTTTGTCAGCTGCAATTAATACATCATGCCCGGGTGGACAGCTGCACCTCCGCGTTGGAAGTAGACATTGGGATTGCTGCTTAAGGTCGGCTCCAGCGTGGTATAGAGATTCGTGTCGTCCGGACGTATAAACAGACCTGCGTTAAAAAGAAATGCCGTATTTATATAAAATGTTCATTCCGTAAAGTATGTGTGTTCACGTTTCTGTCGAGAGTAGGACCGGACCGCCTATTTAATTGACAGACTAGTCTCACTCAATTCTTACCTGGATATCTTAGAGTTTGTGCTATATGTGCTTGTGTTATGGAACTCAAGGAATTTCCCAGGTGTTTCAGTGTTGGCGGGGCTGGCAATTGTGTCATTCCGGCGGGTGCCAGAGGTGGCGGTGGTGGGGGTTGTGGGTAGAAACAAAACGGATGCGTTGTCAAGTGTGCTGGAAAATAGTGATACATGCGTGTGTAGCTCGGTGGTGCAGCGGTGACCAATGCAACGCGATCTTTGATTTGGAATTTTTGTAATGCATGCGTACATGTGGTGATTATGCAATGTGTGTATGTGTGTTTGAGTGTGAGGTGCAAGTGTGAGGTGCAAGTGTGCGTAAAAAGTAAGGTTTGCAGACATGTCCAGCATTTGCCGTAAAGCATTTCAAATTCATGTGTTCGAAAGCAATTGTATGGCATTTACATGCAGTGAGTAAGAGACACGTGTTCGTCGCGTATCAATCCGACGGTAATTTATCAATTGTAATGAATGTCGAGAACATGATGTTAATGTATGTCCATATTGATGCCGTAGTGGTGTAGGATGGATCGTATGTGAATGGGTGTATGTGCCGTGATGCAGTTGCATTAAAAATAGCAATTTTAAATAAACAAAAACACAAAAAATAAACATTTGTGAACATATTGTAATTACAAAAAGGTGTGTTATTTACATATAAATTGATGAGCATTGCGAACGGGATGAACTTTTTCAAAACAGTGAATCAAGTGAGACTAGCAAGCTACTGTCTAAATAAATTTTCGACTTTTTCATGAATGTACTACAAATAACATCCTCTGGACGGATATGTATGTACCACGTTAGGAACTCAGCCAAACAGACTTGTATTCCTATTAAAATGCTTACCACCGCCCGATGAACGCAGATGATTTCATAATAACGGCAGCTAGTGTCTACACAAAAACATTTCTCCGAAAAACATACGAGGGTCCTGCGGTATATATCACAAGCCACAAAATACAACATCCAAAACAATCTCCACATAATGTGAATAGCTGAAATTTAAAACTTTTGTTAGAATGCCATTCGATACCAAAATATTGGCGAGTCCGCAAAGAACAAAAAAAAATAATAATAATAAACGAGGTACGACTTAGCATACAAGAAAAAAGTAAAATGGTCATAAAATCGATGGTTTGTTCTCAATTTCAGAAAACACCACCAACCGACGTGATCATTCGGAGCCATATTTTTTTCTAAGTATATCAAATTCCATCACAAGGAATGTCAACACAATTTCAAACCGAAAGTGAACGATTGTTTACCTCGTCATACGCAAATGTCGTCATCATAGGCCGTGCGTCTGCTACTTTTGGCAGTAATCGAATAACTGTTATTTTTTTATGGATGCGCAACGAAAAGGACCGAAGTAAGATGTGAGTCAATTGAAAATGTTAGGGATGTTCTTTCTGCTACGAACAACACTCTAACATCACCCTACGTCTAGGCCATCTCGAATTGTTGATACATTCGCAAAGCAGGACGTTTTTATTAAACTATGATGTGCATAATGTAGTTCGATTACATTCTGTCACAGGGGTGTTTTGAGTTTCACATTCTTTCATGGATTTCTGTATATCTCTGTCTGAATTAAGTTTTTTGTTTTAAACACGTTCCATATATACATCGAATCCTTTTACCATTGACTCTTCGAAATATTGTGTAGCCGCATAAAAAGAGGCAGGTAAACAACGAAACTCCAATGACAGCGCATTTAACGCAACATAAAGTGGGTGGACAAGAACAAGATCAGAACTTTGTGTTTATGCAATGTTTACGATTCGCGTGAGGTTCGGTGACTATCAAACCAACTTTAGCAAAGAGCCATCCAACTGCCTCTCCGAGCCAACCAACCAGAGGCCAAGTGACTGAGTGACACAGCTGAAGGAATAAAAAACAAGCAATTTGATGCCAGATTTAAGCACGCTCTTTCCCTGGGACATGACTTTTAACGTGATGGAGAAAAATACCCTAGAGGCAAAGCGAATGTGCTGGCCTGGCGTCTAACAGTTGACTGATGTTTACAAGCAGATTGTCATTGGATTAACATGTTTTCGTGTTACTCCTTTGCCTTTTGTCGTCCGCCGTTGTTGTCGTAGTCAGTGGAACGTTGAGATTAGTTTGTGCCTGTGTGAACAATAGTTTCAATTCCAACGAAAAGTGCGGCATGTTCCACGCTATGTCCGAGTCATTTAACCAACATTTCTATGATTTAACTAATGCAAAGGTAACCGAATAAATCCGAAAACGAACTAATTGGCAATGCTTTGGGGTCATTGTCAAAGTAACCACCACAACGGCGCCTTGTGTAGTTTGAACTAATGCCTTGGATCCAAATGTAGGACGTTATGCTAAACACAGAACGATACAAAACGTCAAATGCTAAGCGTGACTAAAGATTTGTTCCGAACGGAAAAATTAACCCCGGGTTCAATATATATAAATATATAAATTATATTTTGTCAGCCCAAACGGCAAACTGCAGAAGAAAGCGATATTATAAATTATTTATAAATATTTATTACACTATGGTACAAATCGACAAAAATTGTCGCAACTTTAACGTCATCTTTTTTTAAAATCCTCCAACTTTGAGACAATTTTTGCGCCATTGTTTGTTCAATATGTATATATATATATAAATTATATTTTGTCAGCCCAAACGGCAAACTGCAGAAGAAAGCGATATTATAAATTATTTATAAATATTTATTACACTATGGTACAAATCGACAAAAATTGTCGCAACTTTAACGTCATCTTTTTTTAAAATCCTCCAACTTTGAGACAATTTTTGCGCCATTGTTTGTTCAAAGACCTATTCTTGTAACACATTCAAATAACAGCACATTTAATTTCGCGTCGAATGAATTCTTATTGATTCCAGTTAGTTAAAAACTGTGCAAGCGGGCGCCATTTTAAGATTTTTACTGATAGGGAATTTTTTGAATAACCAAATTTTTTTCTCCTTGCGAAAAATTAATTTTTTTCATATGCCGCAACTTTTTAAAATAATCCCAACTTTGGTATTGTTCATCCAATTTTATCTAGTAAAATCTTAATCGGCGTAAAAATGAATTTACTAGCATCTTGAAATGTTGGCAAAAATATTCTTCTTCTCAGAAATGTTGTACCCTCCAAATTACTTTTGATTATTTTTAAAAAAAGAACAGAATTAAAAACAAATTTTCGTCGAATTGCATTTGCTTTTCTTGATATTGAACTTTTATTTTTCAGAAAGACGGCACTGTATCTCCCGAATGTAATGATGTAGTGACGTCAAATTTTGTTCATATCCTATTTAGGATATATATATATATATATATGCTATATGCTCATTTATTCAATACCTACTTTGTTAATAACATGGGCGGTTAGGCGATAGCAGCTAATGTGGTATACTACTCTACATTTCTAGCTACATATATATATATATATATATACATATATATGGACGTACGCAGGGATCGGCCCGGGACACCCCCCATATTAATTTTTTCCCAGTTTTACCTACAAATGCGATGAATGTCCATATGGATTTCAGAGCCTTTTCATAACGTTAAGAATGGAATCAATTAGTGTGGACAAAGGTGACCACATTTTGCACGAGATCTTTACTTTAAAAATCACTCGATGGCAAGTTAGTGAAGAACAACGACAAGGTTGTTACAACTGTTTGCTACTAGTGTTGGTCGGCTGACAAGGACCATGTGCATGGTTATTACGAAAATCATGCAACCGACTCGCTAACTCACCTGTTCACTCACATAAACCAAGTGTAATGCAATCCTTGGCTATTAACGAGTTTTGAGTGGTATGCGGCTGCATTTAGCAATGACTTTGGTGTTTGGCTACAAACAATTTCAATGAAATTGAAAACAAATGATTAGATTCTGTTAAATTCAAAGCTAAATGACTCCATTCGAACTAGGCAGTTTTTAGTCGTGGCGGAGAATTAGACAACCTAACAGTTCGGCAGCCAACTCCAAGTAACAGGTTGGACCAGCTGTCTGCAGTTGTCGAGCCGACAATGTAACATCAAATATACTCTACGCCCGAATCGTCTAACATACATAGATACCCTGAAAGTTAGACTACCGGCCAAGAGAGCTATTTAGCCGGTAAAGAATAATGTTGCGGAGTGTGAATATTACTCATATAGTTACTTACTCTAACTAAGTAACAGAGTATATACACTCGGACAAAAGTGTATATTTTGTTTATGTATGAACAGAGGGGGTCTCCTCAGTGCTTTATCACACATTGCACATTCAGTAAAAAATTGGTCGCATATTGGAAATTTAATGAATGGACAACTACGCAACCTGAAGGCTACATAAGCTAGTAACCGGCATGTATATATTTTTCGTTGAACCGTTCCGAAGAATCGAAAAGGCCGGGGACAGTGATCATTCGGGTAAAACGCAGATAGAGAGCGAGAGAGACAGAAAGTCTAACGGAATACAGGGAAATTGTAAAAAACACAAATCTTTGCTTCAAGAGCCATCATAGTTTTAGAAGACAGGTTTTCGCGGGAAAGCTGAGCAAAAAAACAAAATATATGTGTACTGCTACAAATTGAGTTATTGGCTTCTGATGATTAGATAATGGAGCGGCAACTTTGCTTAGTAGGTTATTGAAGGAATGATTTGGTGTGCATAGCTTCGTTCAGAAAATGGGGCGCGGTAAAGAAGTAATTTGTATAGAAGTTCATATTGTGATTGCCAAATATGGGTAGATATGATGAGAGTTGAAATATAAAATATGTATAATCAAATATATGATACATATCTAAATATCGCACGGCACTAGGCTAAACGAGTGAACGAGTTCGACACGCTCATAATTGGGACCTTGACTGGTTGCGCGTCCTATGTATAAGAAAAATTCAATTATTGTGGAAGCTACGCATTTGTTTTACATTAACACAAATTCAGCAAGCACTTTATTTTAAACATTCAATATTATTATTAATAATAATTTTCTATAATTGGGAAAATTGAAGCTGATGTCGGGTCAGAAATTGTGAATTGCTTCGATAATGTCATTCATACATGTTTACGAGTTTTTAAATTTCAAAAAATGTTCAATGTCAGCTAAGCTGATGTCGGGTCAGAAATTGTGAATTACTTCGATAATGTCATTCATACATGTTTACGTGTTTTTAAATTTCAAAAAATGTTCAATGTCAGCTACCATTAATTTTAGTCCGCAATGTCACTGAGTATTTTTGTTGCTAATTTGTTATCTAACAATATTTCATCATAACATATCATAAATATATTTGGCCAGATCTGTTCAACTACGCTTTCTTGTAGACTACCTTGTACTTCTGCATTTAAGTGGTTTAGCTTGTACTTTTTGTCAAGCTAGTGCTATTTTTGTTTCTTCGGTTCTTTGCTTGTTCATAAGAGATGCCAAGACATTTCTTAATGAAAACTACATCATCACCGCATCAGTACAAACGCAACTGTAAGACAAGGAAACCTCGTCAATGTTTAAAATTGACTGACGTGTTTTTCATTCTTTTTGCACGCAGTCTCTGTTACCTGGGGAGACGGCTATCTGGCTGGCTGCCCGGCTTGCTGACAGACTGCCTTTCGTAGTCACTGACCGGACGTTTGCCAATGCAGTAACAAGTGGCCTCTTGTCTCGTATCATTAAAGTTCAAGGTTATTTACAACGATGGCGGCATCGTAGTTTGGGAATACAACCATCAGATAGAGCCGAATTATTATCATAATGTGGCCGATGACGGTGGTGATGACGACAGTGGATGCACTCGTCTATAAAATATACCCCGTCCTGAAACAGCCGCCATTGTGAGCATCGCATGACACTGGAATATACAACTTTTTTTGTTGACATCCGTAACACCGTTTTATTTTTAGATTCTGGGGTTTTTTTTAATGGTCGACCTTTTTATTCTTTTTGATATATTAGGTGTTAGTAATGTTGTTGTTGGTGTTAACATTTGATATGTGACATGTTTAAAATATATTAAATGTAATATCAAAGGCTACTAGAGTATACAGTTTGTGACAACAAGGATAACCAACTGTGTTGATAATCAATGTATTGAGAGGAGTTATATCGAAAAGTAGTGTCACTAATGCCAGATTTACCGATGTATACACCTATTCCCTTAAACCACACAGTTTGTTTTCTAGTTCCAGTCTACGCGATCGGCAACAGTAGCAACGTATGTAGCCAAAGATCAAAGGATGACACTCAAGGTTAAATGTTTAGGGATTGCATAAGTAAAATTGCGTATGTGATTCATATGCATGTTACAACAATTACAACTACTTGAGCCAATAATGTGTTTTCATAGTAAAATCTTAAAAGTATCATATGCACTATAACGAATGTCGACCACTGTTGTACAATATAAAACGTATCCAAATGATTTATGTCTGTATCGGAACGTTTTATTTTAAATATTAAAAAATCATCGATGCCGACATCCCTAACATACTATTTCTTGACGAGAAGTTTGTCGTAAAGAACCGCTCCTTTTTTATCAATAAATTAAATCGCTAGGCCCCCGCAGATTATACATACACAACTGAAATTGTCTTGAATGGAAGCTACATTTCTTTCAATCATCGTCTATTCTTTATTTCATCGTGTCTCAGCCGCTGCCAACATAAAACAACAATGCTCTTTTTTATTTACTGCAAACATTATGAATGCATAGCCAGAACAAATTCAATGAAATTTAGATTTAGTTTTTTGACAAATCATACTTAAAATTGGAGACTGAATGACAAACGACTCCCATTGTTTCTGAAACTAAAACTGGAAAGAGAAATCAATACAAAACATAGGGGGGGACTACTTAACTGTAAATCGTGGAAGCTTTCTAATAGAAATGGATACCATGCTTTGGTCACTTTAAATAACAATGGGGGCAGCAAATGATGCATCATTAAATAGTGTGTTCACACCTTAAAGTATATAGAAGAATACACTCTCTTTGTTCTAAATACATATATATATATATATATATTTGTAAATATATATGTATATAATAAATAAAACACTTTTCCTTTTTCTAGAGCTACTTTCCACATCAGACGGCCACTGGAGACAACTCAGCAGTGAAACATGAAAAACAAAATGAACAATCGAAGACAGTTAAAAAAGGCGGCGCGGCACACACTCTCATAATTAAATTCATTCCCACAAAATGCACTATTTAACAACGGATTTAATGAACGAATATTTCATTAAACATCGTTTTCAGTTTGTTTGGAGAACACAAAAGACAACTAGAGCTCCCCAACTATGCTCTTATTTCGGGCGATGATGAAAATGGGGAAACGAAGCAGTCAGCTAACAGCAGACACAGCAAAAACAATATCTAGACAATCATTTGGAAAATGTTTAACGAGTTGAAATTTCACAGAGCATGAGCTAGCTAGCTCTACGTATTAGCTGACTGGCTGGCTGGCCGGAGCGAGCAAGAACACAGAGCAGAGACACAGTAAGTACAATGATTATTCATGAAATCATAGGCGTATAGTATGAAATATTTAACTGTAGTTTTCAACTACCAACTATGAGCATTTTTTTACTCAAACGACTGTTTTTTTTCAGTCGTAAAAAACTTCATAGTTTTCCCACAACGCAGTTCCTCTTAACTCTATAATTTGTTGCATAGGGCCATTTTGTTGTACAACTGAAATAGTCCGAAACTGTTTACACTATTCAATACCACAATTGGCATTGGATACTAAAAGCAAATAGTGGATGTGGTGAATATAGTTGATGTGGTGATGATTGACCTTTTCTGTCAACATTCTTCCACTAGTTATTCTGGCCGTAAATACGTTATTTGCGTTTAGGTAAACCGGTGGCTGATCCAGATGCCAAAAAAATCTGATAATACTACAAAGCCAATATTGTCAGTGAGTGGGCAGACTTGGCCTAACGTTGCTATTAATCTCGTTACAAATGCTGGAACTTGGAACAATGTAGATGCTTTTCAGAGAAGGTCACATCAAAAACTGAGGTAATCGAGTCTTGTAAAGACAACCAATTACAATTTGCATATGCCTATTCCTAGGTGACCAGTAATTGGCAATGTACGCTCCCAACATTCATTCGTCAATCTATTGTCCACGAGGCACTTAGCGGGAACACTTCAGATCAACGTTGTTTCTTCAGTCTTTTGTTGTGGGTACGAATTTTTGTTTTTAGTTTTGATTCCAATCCTCTGTAAATTTAATTGAAATGACTTGAAATATGTTATCAGGTATTATTGCCTAACCCCATACAATGGCCATGATTATGCTTTCTTCGACTCCAGTTATATGTCATGCCTTGGTTGTTGGCGTTGTATTGCACTGCACTGCAATTTGACAGAACCGCGATGCGGCAAGTAGTTTGTCTGTTACCGTAATACATGTTAAACAGTTGCTACTACTTAAGTACTCGCCACTTCACTTCCTTGTTTAGCTGTTGTCTGTTAGCCAGCCTAGCCGCACAGGCGCGGGAGGTCTTGTCATGCGCATAAATACCACGAACCATGTTTCTTTTTCAATTCGTATTATTATCACTACCACTACCATCGTAATTATTATTGTTGTTGTATAATCGAACATTGAGCGGGTATGTGGGCCGGGGGGAGGGTGAATGGAAGATGCACTGCTGTTTTGAATTTGCTTTTCACTTTTCACACGTTACGCAAAATGCAAGGGAAATTACTTGTATGTATTAACTGATCAGCACTTCGTTGCTATACCCAACTGATCCGCTACCTGGCAAAATCACAAAATACAAATCAAACTTAAAAGCCAAGCCAGCGTTTGCAATGGGTTTCAATGTTCGATAGTGAAAGCGTTTAAATGCCCATGATGCCCTCTTATATAATTTTTGAATTTAATTTAATAATAACTAAAAACATTAGTATTTGCCAAATCGAAATATCGTAACAAAACATAACGACCTGTAGTAATAAATTTTGAAATTTTTAATGGAAAAAAGACAACGCAAACGGTGCTATTGTATTTTCATAGCAACAACAAAGACAACACTGTTAATAGCAGCTAAAACTCATAATAGACGAAACGAGCGATTTTAACACTTCTACAACGACGTGTTAGCGTCTGTGTTGGCTGTTTACCGGCGTTGTAAATACTTCGGTGAAAAACAAAAGTGTGAGCAACTCCGCCAAACAATGGTCAGAATAACAGAGGTTAAGGTGGTGGCAGTGAACACACACACACGCACACAATAACTCCCATTGCATCCGCATGTTGAAACAAGCAAGAGAAAAATCTAAGCTGAAAATCGACTGTCACTTGCGTTTAGTAAATATGTGATATACAGTCAACGCTCGATATAACGCATGATGAATGAATTCGTTATAACGCAAAGTTTTTTAGATGCAATTTTATTAACAAACGAAACAAAACCAAAAAGCAAATCCGCATATCAACGCATTTGTGAGTAGAAAACGAACATAATAACATGTTTACATATTGTTTTTATGAGACAATCGCATTATTTTTTACCATTCGAGTTATGGAGTCACTCTAATGCGTTCGCTTTCTACTACATTTACTCATCTAACAAGTACGAAAAAAAGAACAATGATGGAATTATAATCGAAATCCTTAAAGTGGTCGTAGACAATGTCCGGTGCAATTCTAATAGTCTTTGTTTTTATGAGACAATCGCATTATTTTTTACCATTCGAGTTATGGAGTCACTCTAATGCGTTCGCTTTCTACTACATTTACTCATCTAACAAGTACGAAAAAAAGAACAATGATGGAATTATAATCGAAATCCTTAAAGTGGTCGTAGACAATGTCCGGTGCAATTCTAATAGTCTTTCTCTTGGGAAAATGAAACTAGCTCAACTTTTTCACTGTTTTGAAATGTATTCGGGAATTGTGTTATTTATGAAAACATGTTTCGGAATAAGTGAGTTGGAAGTGAATGTAAATAGACCTATAAAAAAAAGAAACTTACCTCCTGCGTTTAGAGCATTTGGCGAATGTTTCATATTAGCTCCATTTCCCGAATTCGATGCAGAATTCTGAAATGCACCGGCTCCGCCGCTCATTACGCCGTACTTGATTGGCTTGAAGTGGAAAAACGAAGGAGAATAACCAGATCCGCCTCGACTCAGCGAACTGAATTGTTCTTCTCGATCTTCTACGTATAGTCCCTCTTTCCCCATGGCGGCCAACTGCCTTCCTTTGGGCATAAACATTACCAGAAACACCGTTGCCGATGTGGCAACCAGCCCGAAAGCAATACACGCGTCCTTGTGCCGTTCGGCTACAGCCAAGCCGCACAACATCCAACCCAGCCAAATGGGTATCGCACCTCCAATTGCCAAACCAATGTAAGTGGCTTCGCGGTAGTTGTCCCTTATTCCTCGTGATTTGATTGCCAAAACGGCAACAAACACAATCAGAAATATTATGTAGATAAGCGAGAAGAGGAATTCGGAGAATTGTGTTTTGCATAAAGGTATGAGTACGGTGCCAGTTGCTGTTATGCGGGCGAATATGTCGTTACTGCTATGTTGGAATATTGACGACAGCGAAGAGCGCTCACCCTGTGCGGGCATCGAATTGGCCAGAATGTTATTAGCGCCCAGCGGCACCGACAGGGTAAATAACTCCGGAGGCGTTGTTATTAGCCACTGAGCTCCGATGGCCACTTGTATTAGAACGGCAAACAATAACAGCAGACCTTGATATGGCGCTGGCAAATATACCCCGCCATTCAGACTAATGAGAAACACGCACTTAACTAGCAGAGCAGCAAACACCAGGGCGTATGAAACGCCTACTCCAAACCGTATTGTCCCACAAGTGAGAAGAGATGGCTGGGCGGTTATTATGGCTCCTAAACCGGCGCATGCAAATAGACCCAGCAATAACATTTGTCCCAAAAACAAATGTCTTCGCGATGGCGACGTCCTCCAAGCCTTAAAGAGCACAAATATTTCAAAAGCCGCCATCATTAGCATTGTTAGAGACGCTAGAACCAAGACGGGAACAACCCACGGTTCTTTACGTAGTCCCGTGAAGGTAGGATATGTGGATATTATGGATGGTGGTGTTGAGGTGCTATTGGTAGAATATGTTGATTTCGGTGCCACTATCAGTACGGAACGTGGCGGGCCCGTTGGTGCTGATATTGATGGTTGTATGAAGTTCGTCAACCCCCGTCCCTTGGAAGGACCGGTCTTTCCCGGAGCTGGTGTACTGAATGTACCGTGTGTAGAGCCAGCTGGCACCAGGAAGAACTCAGTGGACATTTCCACCAAACGATCAGCCTTAGAGACATTAGCCACAGCAACATTATTAGCTGTATCTACGACATTGATATCTTCACGGCGATTCAGTTGTTTTCCTTTGCGATATCTAGGTGAAACAGTGACGGCTTCGTGAATTCGTTCGTCCAGCGTTTCCACAGCCAGCGTAAATACATCGAGATTGTGGGTATCCCGGTCCCCCGATATCACTTTACTTTTTTGTTTACTTTTACTGTCGTTACTCTCAACACTTACAATGTAATTACTTCTATTCAGTACACTATTTACACTGGCATCCGTGGCCATACTTGGAACCGTGTGTCCGTAACCATAAACTTTAACGCCCGATCTACTAGCGTGCACATTTACGTTTTTCTTACGCGGCATTAAACGCTCTCCGAATCTAGGCCCTGCACCTTGCGCTATCAGCGCGTCAGCATCCATGGCGGAGACGACACGCGGAATATGCACTCCAATGGTGATCACCCATAGGAATGCGGCTAACCAATAGTAGTGGGAGGATTTTCGTAGAGGCGGCGTCGTTTTTATTGTCCGTTTGACACACATTCTTAGTGCAGTCGCGGCCCTCGACCGTCTTTCGTGACGGACCATGCCTAACTGATCCACATTAGCACTGCATACATATATGCTGCGAACTCAATCACTGAACCGAACCAGATTGTTGTGCTACAGTTTGCAAGTCGCCGTTGCTGCTGCAGATGTTGATGCAGCTCTCTGACTAAACATCCACTGCAATACAATCGTTTGGCCTAAACAAAAATTCTCAGAGCTCTTGTTGCACTTCGCCGTCGTGTTTGCCGTCTGCAGCATCGGTTACATTAGTTTTTCTTTTAGTGTTGATTTCGCACAGATTCGTTTTCGCTTTTGTGACTTCGTTCGTTGCCACACTTCGATTGGCACGCGATTGTTATTCTCTCTGTATTTCTCTCGCCGTTTAATTTTGTTGTAGCGGTTCACGCGCACACTTCGTACATCTTATCGCTTTGCTCGACCGTCAGAGACTGTTTAGCCGAGAAGAAGGTATTGTTGGTGCTACCCAAGGCGCAACTAAGGAACATTAGTTTATCTTTGGTATGGCATGGAACATGATGTTTGTTCGTTCAACACGTTGGATACAACCAAAGAAACAGTCGAATTATCTGCTTACACACAACAACAACAGCGACCCCAAAAGTATGAACCACCACAGTTGTTCATTGTTGCTCGTCACAGCCCTGTTCATATCCAATGCGTATGCGTTAGGAATAAAATAGAGCCCAAACAATGACACCAATGATATTTAAAAAATCGGCTGCTATCAGTGACGGTCAATGTCGTTGAATTTAAGCACAAACTTCTTCAGAAGTACACCTGAGAAGGATACTGACGAAAGTCTTTTTCACAGTGAAAAACCCCCACTTGGCTTGTCGCATGTCGCCTTAATCATACAACAGTAGAATGTCAATAACCGGCACAATATTTTTAATCAAACATCCATGCATAAATTTGTGTAAAAAAGGAAAAACAAAAAAAAAAAAAAAAACCCAAAAAACAACAATAACAGTTGTCTACGTGCCTCGTGATTTAAATGATTACTTCGTATATTTAACTGCTTGGAGTGTGTCTGTCGTGTTCCGTCAACTATGGCTGTTCAGGTGGCTATGTCTGTGTCAATTGTAATAAGCCCGTTGTACATTAAGTTGGTTGCCATATTGAAGAAACTATTAATTTCATTAACAACGTATATTGTAAGTAACGTTTAGGTGTATCGTCTCTTTTGGACATTTCAATTAGCCGAACATAATATGTGGGTGCGGATCAATAATCTAGCAACTTCTCCAACTTCAGTCGTAGTTACACCAAATGCAAGACTGTTGCCATCAAGCATCGATCACTATCACATTTTGGGAGAATTCTGTTATCGTGAACTTTATGAAAAATTAAAAAGGTTTTTTTAATGAGTTTATCTGCGACCCTCTCTATTGTACTCATTCAAAATATCGTGTACAGAAATTAATATGAAAATGTTTAATATTAATTATTATCTAGAATTCTTTTTCGAAATTCTTATGGACGATTAAAACACCCATGAAACTCTTTCAGTTTTTAAGTAATAAGCAACAAGAAGAAACTAAGTCCTATTAATTGATTTCTAATTCTTTCGTTTAAGGGGACCTCCCCCCATTCTCGGGGTCAACATATTTTATGATTTAATTCGAGTCTACACTAATCCAAGAATGTCCCTACAAAATTTCAAGAGAAAATCTCAAGAACACTTGAAAATATAACCGATTTATTGTGTCAGCATCAAGTGACGGATAAAGGGCTTCTCAAACTTTAAACGCGTTTTTCTCCTTTGCGAATGGCGGGCACGATAACTCAAAAACTAATAACCCAATCGATTTCCAAATCTTTACACGTTTCTCTGTGAGTGTATAGCTATCGTATGAACAACGATAAAGCCAATCGGTGAAGATCTTCCTTATTTTTTAACTTGGTTTTTGGTCAAAAATCGGCAAATTTTCAAAAATATTTTTTCAAAGGTCCGCCATTTTGTTAATTTTAGAGCGAAGTCAATAATCCTAGTTCATACGAGAGCCAGACATGTACTCTTTCTAACACCGTTCGGATGGAATTTTCGGATACCGATGTTCCAGTGAGGAGTTATCATGCCCGCCATCAGAAAGAAGGACTTTTCTTTAATTACAAAAAACAACAACAATTGTTTTGTAAATTACTAATAACCCAACTTCAAACTAATAACCCAATCGATTTCCAAATCTTTACACGTTTCTCTGTGAGTGTATAGCTATCGTATGAACAACGATAAAGCCAATCGGTGAAGATCTTCCTTATTTTTTAACTTGGTTTTTGGTCAAAAATCGGCAAATTTTCAAAAATATTTTTTCAAAGGTCCGCCATTTTGTTAATTTTAGAGCGAAGTCAATAATCCTAGTTCATACGAGAGCCAGACATGTACTCTTTCTAACACCGTTCGGATGGAATTTTCGGATACCGATGTTCCAGTGAGGAGTTATCATGCCCGCCATCAAAAAGAAGGACTTTTCTTTAATTACAAAAAACAACAACAATTGTTTTGTAAATTATTTTTCTTCTCTTTTAAATCTTCAAATATATGTGCAAAGTTACAAACTTTTGCAAGCATTGGTATTGATTTACCAGCCCATTGAAAATCTTGAAAAATTAAAATCGGGAATGGGTGGGGTTCCCTTAAAGGAATTAAATACGACGTAGAACTATAGTGAATTCTAGTTATTCGCCAGTTGCACACTTGAGTCGCTACAAAACTTATCTAAATCTAATATTCATAGACGTTGTAATCCATTTTATCGCTTCACATGAAATCAGATAAATTTTAGACTTGATTCACTATTATTTTCCACCCACCCTTGCTACTTGTGTCTTCTGAAAATGGTTCATCAGACTTAGTTTGCTGACGCGAAGTTGCTTATGATATATTTTTCTAATATCAACGGCATATAACTTAAAAATTAGTTGAATTTTATTAGACGACTGCATAAAAGATATGTATGTCACTCATACAGAGAACTCCGTATATAACTAAACTATTAGTTTACCCATTCAGCTCTTCTACATAATTTTATTAGGCGAGAACATAATATGTACATATGAGTGTGCAATAGTGAAACCTCTGAAAATAACAAACCGATTAGAATATAATATTGTAAGATGTAGTGCAACTTCGAATTTATTTTAAATTACTCTTTCCGTTTTTTATATTGAAACTTAAAAGTAGGCTAGATGAATGATATTCTTGAACAGCTTTTAAATGTTGGTCTTGTGTGAATTGAACGATTGTGGATTAACACAAACGCATGTACCTTCATACTTGCGGTATAAGCTAATAAAGAGCACAAGTAGTTTACCGAATTCCATCAATAACACAGCACAGACCGAGAAAACACATTCAGAGATTGAAAGGGTTACCAGAATGTACAGTATCGAAATTGTATAGAGGTAAATAACCTTAGACAACGAAGCCCGGCAAAACCGATAATATCGACATCTGAAATAGTTTCTGTACTTGAAGTGGCTTATGCGTGTCCATGGTTTGAAGCAAACAACACGGCGTAGGGGGGGAGCAATGAAACAGATTTAAATGAGCACAGTGGGTGATATCCCATGACTGCTAAACTTGATGAGCAATTTCAAAATCGAAATATTTTTATTTTTCGGAGATATTCGGTCATCATTATTTGTATGGTCTTAAGAAGCTTTCATTTTTGTTTTGCTCAATTTAATCTCCCAGAGTCATAATTAGCAAAATTAAGGCACTGCTCAGCCGACGCTATCTGCCGAGGGACCGTTGCTCATTCGGTTGACCCTGTTCAATGGGTTTTAAGAAAACACTTGTGTCGAAAATGAAACCGAATAGATGGATCATTTAGCCGATAATTGAGTATCAATGGAAAGAAAGTGGTGAGCAATTAGATAACTTAACTATGCATTTAGTTTGGTTTCTTGGCAGACTGCTAACTCGCAATGGACCAGACAAATACTCCGTAGGCCATGTATTAACTAATGATGATAATAAAGGTCACATCATTTTGCCCAACTTTCTTTGAAATATTTTATGTATTTTCTGTGAAAATGTCGATGCTTTGGTGATTGATAGATTATCGCTGTTTCGTACAAGTTCACATTGCTGATGAAGGTCGTTTATTTGTTCGTATTCTGAAGAAATTTCACCCAGAGAAGAAGCCGTATAAACTCGTTAGATTTTACAAGCAGACTTCAAATAATTGTTGGTCACTGTAAGGGTAAAGCTTAGAAACCCCGCTAATTGAAGTCGGCTCTAAAAATTTAAATTTGGCCTTATCGGATTTTGCATCATACTTTCTACATAAATGCGCATCAGTTAGTGACATCCAATCCTTACTTTCCAAGAAAATGTGTTCTTTTTTGTTGATTTGTGTAGTGATGGCAATATTGATGCCAATGTGCCTATTCTCAACTCTGTGGGATATTTTCGCTTTCGCCCTCAG